CGCCAAGCAGTTTTACCTCCCTCAATCTTCCCAACAATCTACAAGAGAAACAGGTTCTATCATTATCTTTCCTATTTCTTAAAAGAGGGAAACTGAAGCACAAAAATGTGAAGTGAATTGCTCAAGGTAATAATCAGAAGTAGCACAAGCCAGGAGTTGAATCCAGGCAGTCTGATTTCGGAACCTGTGTCTATAGCCACACTGAGCCATCATCCTTCATCTCTTGCAATTTATAAATTCATTTTGTTTCTCAAGTTACATTGTAAACAGACTAATTCTTTAAAAATCCTCTACAGTTTTCAACCAAGTTACAACCAAGGTACAATGAGTCAATTCTCCCATCAACTCTGAAAATTCCTGACTATCTAGAACTTTCTCTCACTTTCCCACTAGGCCAAAGTGGAAAAAAAGCAGTGCCAGCAAGAAAAAGTAAGTGCCAGCAAGAAAACAGAAACAAGCCAGGGGTAGGAAGGCAAGGACTGTAGAAACAAAGAGAAAGAAAGAAAACAAAAACGGGAAAACTGCAGTGGGAGAGTTCCAGCAAACTACAGGCAAGAGAGAAGAAAATAGTACAGGGCAAATAGAAAAAACGGAAACCTGAGTGTCAAGATACTACCTTCAGCACTCATGATGATTTAGCCGCATCATTTTTCCAGTGTACATATGACTTCTTAACTGTATTTCCCAGACAGGTCCCTCAGGCTACATACTGGTTAAGTGAATATACTGCATGTTATTTTAACAGCATTGATTACAAGGAATCTCAACTCTACAATTATAACCAACTGATTGATTGCATTTCCCATTTTCTTTCAGTTAGTAACAATGAATAAGCTTAACCGGAATGAAAGAATACAACTTTTAAAGAAAAGTGCTACCGGTGATTAGGAGATTGCTAGTGATAAAATTCTTGGCCATTCTCTTTAGGGTAAATTGTCCTCTAATGTATTTCTAAAAAGTGAAATGCTGTTCTCAGAATATTACTTCTCAAACAACTCTTCACAAAATACTTTCCCTTAGACATACCTAAAAATCACTCGATCAGCATCTGTTTCAGCTAGTGGTTAAAACAATTTCATGTTAATGATACCACAGCAGTTATGAGGAGAACTGCAATATTTACACTCATGTTTTCAAAGAAGAATGAAACCACGGTAGAACTGAATTAGGCGTGGAATGCAATGTACAAGCTAGTCAGCAATAATAACAGGAAAGGTTAAGTGTTTAGTGATTTGTCAGTGTTTTATTTACAGCTCTCTAATAACAACCTGGATAAGGGCCATGGTCTTTTCTATTTTGTTTTGGAACACACGAGCAATCTATGGATCATCAAAAATGACAGAACATAACTGTAAACCAATCCCATTCCTTCTACCTAATTTGAGTTACTTTCTTCCAAAAGGAAATCCATTATAATAAAGGAAAAATCTTCCTTTCAAGACTTGTGCTCCAAGAAAACACCAGAAACCTACATTTTAAGGACAGTCTTTGCAGTCATTATTAAAAGGGAACCAAATTGGCATGCCAGGCTGCTCAGTCAGTGGAGCAAGTGACTCTTGATCTCGAGGTCCTCAGTTCAAGCCCCAGGTTGGGCATGGAGCTTACAAAAAAAAAAAAAAAGTAAACCAAATCACTGGAGGTACCCGGGGCTTGGAAGGAGTGGGGTGGGGGGAGATTCTGGGCTACAGGTGCTCAGCACCTCCCCCATCTAAATGTCAAGTTCAGGCCTATCACACTCCTTTCTGGCTCCCAGACTTTAGACTCTGTGGTGGAGATGGGATGCCTCAGTCATCTCTGGGAGAAGATAATAAATGCCAGTGCCATAAATAAATTGATAAATGACTGAGTGGGGGAAAAAAAAAAAGCTAAGATTATTTAGTCTTCTAATTTTATCCTATACTTAAATCCATGGCTCCTTTTAAAACCGGAGACTCTGGGGCGCCTGGGTGGCGCAGTCGGTTAAGCGTCCGACTTCAGCCAGGTCACGATCTCGCGGTCCGTGGGTTCGAGCCCCGCGTCGGGCTCTGGGCTGATGGCTCAGAGCCTGGAGCCTGTTTCCGATTCTGTGTCTCCCTCTCTCTCTGCCCCTCCCCCGTTCATGCTCTGTCTCTCTCTGTCCCAAAAATAAATAATAAAATATTCTTTAAATAAATAAATAAATAAATAAATAAATAAAACCGGAGACTCATTAAACTTTTAATTTCGTAATCACAGCTAACAAAAATTCTCAACTCTCAATCAGCTTTCCAAGCAATCGACAGTAAGCAGTCTGAATTATTGTTGGTTCTTTAAGACGCAGTTTTAAAGTAATGAAAAGCTTTAATGAGAATCTAGAATCCATTTCCCACACTTACAACTTAATTTTGCACCGCGGTGAATGGCTCTCAAAGTGCCGCGGTGGGGCGGCCTGGGAACTAGTTAGAAAGGCGAACGCCCGGGCCCCACCCCAGACCTGCAAAATCGGAATGTCTGGGGTGCGGCCGGGCAAAGTGTTTTAACAAGCCCTCCAGGGGTTGCTGATGCTCCAGACTTTGAAAGCCACTGGCTTAGGGGTTACGAGTCATACTGCCTAGGTTCAAATCTTGGAGTCAAGGTTGACTTGCTGAGTAATCAAGAGTAAACTACTCCGCTTCTCCAGACTTGTTCCTCATCTACACAGGGGAATTACGGGGCTGTTTTGAAGATTAAATAAGAAAATACGCGTTAAGCGCTTAAGAGCGATGCCGGGCACTTAAGAAACATTCAAATGTTAGCAATTCTTACTACTGTATACAAGGCTCTTGGGCGGGGAGTACACTTCGAGGGAGACAAAGGCGGAAAGAGCTTAATCCCTAGCCCTCCTACCTACCTACCTACCGACTAGTACACAAGACAACCAAACACACTCCTTGGGTAAATAAAATAAAGATGCCCTCCTAGGGGCAAACAAGTTGATTGGGACCCCGTACGAACAAATTCTGACCGAACAACGCAAGAGACGGATTTAAGTGATGCCTATAAGCAAGAAGGGAGAGCCTGAAGGGAAGAAAAAGTCCTTCGGGCCGAAAAGTGTGAGCCAAGGTCCAAACAAGTAGCAAAAGGAAAGAAGCGCCAGGCAGAACTCGGGCTGAAGAACTGACAAAACACACAGTCGCAGGAGTAAATGTCACAGTCGTAGGCCTTAGTCTCGGGAGAAGGCTCGGCCTCCTCGGGGCACTCTAATGCACCCACATTTGCAAACTAACTTCCCTCTTTTGTTTCCTGAACACCCAAAGACTACTTTTCTGCAAGGCCTATGAAGCCATTGTCTGGGAGAGGTGAGAAGTCTGCACGGAGCCACCCCATCAGCAGGAGCGAGCACTGCTCCAACAGTGTAAGTAGACCTCTGAACATTCCCAGCCGCAAAAAACAAAACAAAACAAAACCCAACTTGCTTTATTAAAGGGCAAAACTTGGATAAAAGTGGAAGGAGGGAGAGAGAAGGGAAAGAGGACAGTTTTTTATCTTCTTCCCTCCCCGAAACCCCGTCTGGGTGCTGGCGGGATCCAGACGGCTTATTTTCATGGCCTGAAGGCTGAGGTTTTCCTTCCGGTCATTGTGTTTATTTCCCCCAAAGAACCGGGCCCGCGGGGCCGGCGCGCCGGCCGGGCCCGGGACAAAGCCCACTCCGGGCTCCACCTGGGCGCGGGCAGGGGCGGGG